TCTACTCAACTTATTCACCAGATAGGCCAAGTCTGGTCGTGTACAGTTCGTCAAGTACATTAGACTCCCTATAATCCGTGAATATTCCAATTGAGCAACTGGTTGACCTTTATTGACTTCTAGATTTATGCTAAGATCAAGGGGTGTCCTAGAAAAGGACCTTCATAGGCATTAAATTTCTTGAGCACTTTCTCTACGTAATGAGATTGTGATAAGACAATTCCATCTTGGGTTCTTATAATTCTTATTCCAAGAATCACATCAGCTAAACCCATATCTTTCATGTCAAAATTTCTTTTCAACATTCGTTTCGTATCAATGATCACGTCATGGCTACTCCCCATGATCAACATATCGTCTACATATAGACATACTATTACATATGTATTTGATGTGTTTTTAACATAAACACATTTGTCACATTCGTTGATTTTGAATCCATTTGACAACATCACGTCATCAAATTTCAAATGCCATTGTTTCGGAGCTAGTTTAAGTCCGTACAAGGATTTGATCAATTTGCACACCTTTTTCTCTTGTCCAGGTGCTACAAAACCTTCGGGTTTTTCCATGTAAATCTCTTCTTCTAATTCACCATTCAAAAATGCCGTTTTAACATCCATTTGATGAATCTCAAGATTGTGCAAAGCAGCAATCGAGAGAAGCACTCTAATTGACGCTATACGTGTCACAGGTGAATATCAAAGAAGTCGTACCCTTCTTTTTGTTTAAAGCCTTTGACCACTAATCTTGCTTTAAACTTATCAATCGTTCCATCAGCTTTGTATTTTCTTTTTAGGATCCACTTGCATCCTAAAGATTTACAACCCGCTAATCTTTTTAGAACCGCTAGCAGTTTCATACGTCCTTTTGTTAGAACTAGATTCTGCCCTTTCCTTCAAAGGAAAAATATTCTCGAAGAATATAGCATTCCTCGACTCAATAGTGGTACCAACCGATACCTCCGGATTTTTTGATTTATGAACCAGAAATCTATATGCAGTACTATTGTATGAATATCCAATAAAAATACAATCGACCGTCTTAGGTCCGATTCTCAATTGTTTTGGTTCAGGAACTGAAACCTTAGCCAAACACCCCCACACTTTCAGGTACTTATAAGACGGCTTACGATTTTTCCACATTTCGTAAGGAGTCTCATTTTTCCATTTAGGTGGTATTTTATTCAGAATATGATTTGCTGTTAAAACAGCTTCCCCCCACATATTCTGGGGTAATCCTGAATTTATCAACATGGCATTCATCATCTCTTTTAAAGTTCGGTTCTTGCGTTCAGCAACACCGTTCGACTGTGGAGAATAGGGGGTCTTCGTTTGATGAATTATGCCATATTCAGAACATATTTGTTCAAAAAGAGCTACATACTCCCATCCCCTATCACTTCGGATTATTTTAATCTTTTTGCCGAGTTGATTTTCAACTTCGGTCTTAAAAATTTTTAAAAGCTTCCACAGCCTTGTCTTTGCTTCTTAAAAGATATAAGTAGAAAAATCTTGTGCAATCATCAATAAAAGTTATAAAATATCTTTTACCCGTTCTTGTTTGCACAAACTTCAAGTCACATACATCAGTATGGATTAAACCCAACGGTTCAGTATTTCTTTCCACCGAGTGAAATGGTAATTTAGCCATATTGGCTTCAACACAAATTTCACATTATTTGTGTGATTCAATTTTAGAATTAGGAATTAATTCTAAGTTCATCAACCGTTTAATTGCATTTAGATTCACATGTCCTAATCTAATATGCCATAAATCCGAACACTCCACGATTTAAACAGAAGTACGATTTTCATTATCATTGGAAACGGTTACACGGCTCACAGCCATTACATTCATTTTAAATAAACCATTGTCGAGATAGCCACGACCAAGGAATTTACCATACTTGCTAAGAATAAACTTCTTAGCTTCAAATACTAACTTAAAACCATGCTCTACAAGAAGAGATCCGGAGACCAAATTCTTGCGGATGTCTGGGACATGCAGCACATCCTTAAGCTTTAACTCCTTTCCAGAAGTCAGCTTCAGCACCACGATGCCAACTCCAGCCACATCAGACGAGGAGGAGTTGCCCATGTGGAGCTTCCGACCATTTGAAGGAGTGTATTCAGAAAACAACCCCTTGTCAGAACACACGTGTCGAGTGGCACCAGTATCAATGTACCACGCCCTTAGGTTATCCACCAAATTGGCTTCAAACACCACAGCCGAGATATCCATATCGGTTAGTTCACTCAGCACAGGGCCGTGTTCAGCAATGAGGGCACCATGTTGTGCCTTCTTCAGACCAGCCTTTTTAGGCTTCCTGCAGTTCTTAGCCATATGGTTCGGCTTTCCAAAGTTGTGGCAATTTGCAGTAAATTTCCACACTTTGACAGGCTGCTGCTTCCCTTTGTTAGGGGGCTTCCTTTTGCTCGAGTTGCCTTGCTCTAGCAAGTTGGCACGAGCTTCCATCATCGGGGACTTCCCCGAAGACTTCTGATTGTCCTCTTCAATCCGAAGATGAACAACCAGATCTTCAAGACTCATCTCCTTCCTCTTGTGCTTGAGGTAGTTCTTGAAGTCTTTCCAACCC